GCTTCATTTTTTTTTTTGTTTAATTCTTCTGGTCACTTATGTCGTAGGACGAAAGGTCTAATTACGACATAAGCGACTGGTTGTTTTGTTATTTTATTTCGTGAGCACAATGACCGCAGGTACGCCAAGCGTACCTGTGAGTAGTAACATTCAATTCTTAGATAGGCAGGAATCTTCTTGTATATCGTGATTTTTAAGTAGCGATTGTTTTTTAAATCAAAGGAAGCTGAAGTCTTCCATAATTAGTTAAATAAACGTTGAATAACATTAAAATATCTTTAAATAATTGTTAAATTCGAGTGTTAAATGAAATATCTGAAAATATATTGATACGTTGATTGTATGAATAAATTCAATTTAGTGTTTTCCTTATTTTTACTGATAATATATGAATAGTAATTCGTTAAATGATATGAATATAATGAATGATATGAATATATTAGAGACAAAATGCAAGAAGATAATTCGCGACGGGTAGATCCCTGAGTCAAAGCAACAGGTTTGCCTCACTGTATTATGTCTTACAAAATGTGCTTTGATAAGAGGATCGCCCGAGGGTTTTTAAAGAATTCCATTATTAATCATTTGCACTCGAAATTTTTTCACTAGAAATCTTCAACACTTTCTGATGAGACATAGACAACATGTTTGAAACTAATTTATTGAGAAGTCACGCATAAAGTGAGAAACAAAGATATTTTATATCAATTTTTGATGAGACATAGACAACATTTTTGAAACTAATTTATTGAGAAGTCACGCATAAAGTGAGAAACAAAGATATTTTATATCAATTTTTGATGAGACATAGACAACATTTTTGAAGCTATATTAATTTATGGAGAAATCACGCATAAACTGAGAAACGAAGATATTTTATTTAAATATTTCATATATTAATACTTTTTACAGAACTCAATGTTAAATATCGAACTTTATGATTTTGCTGTATCAAAGTAAATGGTGACTGAGAGTCACCTGTCGAGTGCAAGGGGTTAAGCGAATTCCAGTTCGCCAAAAAACTAACAAATACTTGGTTTTTAGTTAGGATTTTTCAGGTTGCTTAATCCGTGTTCATTG